CAACGAGGTGAATATTACGAAAGACGATGATTCCGATGATTCGAGCTTTTCTCTACTGATTACTCCGGACGTGAACCACTTGGATGCATCAAATTGGATGCTTTATTACGGTGCTACTTATCATATGACCCCTAGGCGAGATTGGTTTGCATCGTTCGAAAGACTCGATGTGGGCGTTGTTGTCATGGAAAATGATCAATCCTGTGATATTTGTGGGATAGGTACCGTGCGGATTAGGATGCACGATGGAGTAGTCCGTGAATTGAAGGAGGTGAGATTCGTTCCTCAGCTGAAGAAGAATCTTATCTCAGTTGGAGCTTTGGAGGCAAAGGGATTCAAGGTGACCTTTGAAATAGCTTTTAGGTTGTCTCGCTATTTGTATTCTCTCTAATAGTAGATCTCCCCCCTCCTTACCCCGTGGACGTAGGCTATTTGTCGAACCACGTAAAATTAGTTGTCTCGCTATTTGTGTGATTTGTAATAGCTTTTAGGTCAAAGTCTAGAGGTCGTCACCAGTTAGCAAAGAACCAATGTGCATTCTGCAAGGAGCAAGGGCATTGGAAGAGAGACTGCCCGAAGCTCAAGGAGAAGGAGAATGGCAAGAAAAAGGGCCCGAAGGCCAACGAGGTGAATATTACGAAAGACGATGATTCCGATGATTCGAGCTTTTCTCTACTGATTACTCCGGACGTGAACCACTTGGATGCATCAAATTGGATGCTTTATTACGGTGCTACTTATCATATGACCCCTAGGCGAGATTGGTTTGCATCGTTCGAAAGACTCGATGGGGGCGTTGTTGTCATGGAAAATGATCAATCCTGTGATATTTGTGGGATAAGTACTGTGCGGATTAGGATGCACGATGGAGTAGTCCGTGAATTGAAGGAGGTGAGATTCATTCCTCAGCTGAAGAAGAATCTTATCTCAGTTGGAGCTTTGGAGGCAAAGGGATTCAATGTGACCTTTGAAGACGCTGTAACAAAGGTTACTAAGGGATCTTTGGTGATGATGAAGAGAGTCCGCAGTCGGAACTTATACTATCTAAAGGAGCACAGAGATTGGCCAGGTTGCTTCGGCTATTTCAGAGGCGGACATGAGCAGACTTTGACATTACAGGTTAGGGCACACAAGAGAGAAGTCACTGCAGGCGCTGTGCAAGTAGGGACTATTGAAGGGAGCCAAGAGTGGTAAAGTGGAATTCTGTGAGCACTGTGTTCTTGGCAAGAAGACGAAGGTGAAGTTCAGGACTGCCATTCATAGTACGAGGGACATCCTGGATTACGTGCACACAGACGTTTGGGGTCCCACCAAGACTGCATCATTTGGTGGTCGACATTGGTTCGTCACATTCGTTGATGACTATTCTAGACGATGTCGGGTGTACACCATGACAAAGAAGAGTGAAGTCCTAGATATATTCGTGGAGTAGAAGAAGAGATTGGAACTGCAAATTGGGAGAAAGATCAAGACGTTGCGATCCGACAACGGTGGTGAATATACTTCAGACCCCTTTCTGCAGCTATGTCGAGACGAGGGCATAGAGAGGCACTTCACGGTTAGTCATATACCGTAGCAAAATAGGGTGACAGAGAGGTTGAATCAGTCTTTACTGGAGAAGATCCGATGCTTATTGTCGTAGAGTGGTTTGGAGAAGATCTTTTGGGCTGAGACACTTACATATGTGAGTCACCTCTTTAATAGGCTGCATTCATCTGCGATTGAGGGGAAGACCCCTATGGAGATGTGGTCGGGAGAGCCAGCACGAGGTTATGACCAGCTCAAGGTATTCGGGTGCCCTGCATTTTATCATGTGAGAACTGATAAGTTGGAACCTCGAGCTAGGAAGACCATATTTGTGGGATTCAAGCGTGGTGTCAAGGGATATAAGCTTTGGGATCCAGTTGATAAGAAGATTGTGCTGAGTAGGGATGTCACGTTTGATGAGGCTTCTATCTTGAATCTTCCCAGCTCTCATCAGGTGGAGAGCGACCCGACGGAGGAGATATCACAGGTGGTGAAGATCGATGCAGCTCCACATTATCCAGATGGTACAGTATCCATTAGAGTGCCGACTGAGGTGACGTCAGGTGAGCACGACGATGACACGGGGGATACGAGTACTGATGTGTAAGATCAGGGATCGACGACTCAGGTTCAGGATTCGATTGCGGTTCGGAGACAGAAGAGAAACATACAGATGCCAGCACGATATGCCGACACAGTTGTGTATGCACTTCCGGTGGAGAGTATCGATGAGTTGGTGCCTACTACATTCAGAGAGTCTGAGCAGAATTCGGAGGCTGATTCGTGACAGGTGGCTATGCAGGAGGAGATAGAATCTCTTCATAAGAACGATACATGGGAGCTTGTTGAGCTTCCAAAGGGGCGGAAGGCAATTGGTTGCAAGTGAGTATACACTAAGAAGGAGGACATTGAGGGCACTCCATTGAGGTTCAAAGCTAGGTTGGTTGCGAAGGGTTATGCACAGGAGGAATGTATTGACTATAATGAGGTTTTCTCTCCGGTGGTGAAGCATTCTTCGATTCGGATTTTACTAGCTTTAGTGGCACAATATGGTTTGGAGTTAGATCAGTTGGATGTGAAGACATCATTTCTTCATGGTGATCTTGATGAAGAAATATATATGACTCAGCCATTGGGATTCCGAGCTGCAGGGAAGAAAAAATTGGTTTGCAAATTGAAGAAATCGCTATACGGTTTGAAGCAGTCTCCTCGACAGTGGTATAGACGATTCGATGGTTTTATGATTGGTCATTCGTACACTCGGAGCCAGTTTGATCCTTGCGTATATTTTCACAAGTTGAAAGGAGGTGCGTACATCTATTTGTTACTTTATATCGATGATATGTTGGTTGCCTCTACTTCCAGGTCAGCTATAGATGAGTTGAAAGTTCAGCTTTCAAATGAGTTTGAGATGAAGGACTTGGGTGAGGTCAAACGCATTTTAGGAATGAAGATCGGCAGAGACAAGAAGAAGGCAGAATTTATTTGACACAGGTGACTTATTTGAAAAAGATACTACAGCGATTTCATGTTAGCATGGATACGAAGCCAGTTTGTGTACCATTGGGAGCCCATTTGAAGCTTTTAGCTGATCTTTCACCGAAGACAGTTAAAGATCGAGAGTTGATGTCAAAGACTCCATATGCGAGTGCGGTTGGGAGCTTGATGTACGCGATGGTATGTGCGAGACCAGATTTGTCACAGGCGGTGAGCATGGTTTCGAGATACATGCACGATCCAGGAGTGGGTCATTGGGACGCCGTGAGATGGATTTTGAGGTACATTCGAGGTACGCTCAATGTTGGTTTAGTTTATGAGCGGGACACTACAGGTGGGCAGTTATGTGTTGGCTATGTTGATTCGGATTATGCCAGGGATTTGGATAAGTGCCGGTCTACGACGGGGTATGTGTTTACTTTGACCCGTACGTCGGTGTGTTGGAGATGCACCTTACAGTCTACGGTGGCTTTGTCTACGACGGAGGCCGAGTATATGGCAGTTATGGAGGCTGTGAAGGAGGCTATTTGGCTTCGAGGAATTTTGGAGGAATTTGGTATATCGCAGATGTCTGTCACTATTCATTATGATAGCATGAGTGCTATCTATTTAGCGAAGAATTAGGTTTTTCATGCGCGGACGAAGCATATTGATGTTCGTTATCACTTCGTTCGGGATGTTCTTGAAGATGGTGATGTGGAGATAGTGAAGGTCCACATGAAGGATAATCCGGTGGATATGCTAATTAACTAAGATGGTTCCGAGCAACAAGTTTGATCATTGTATAAGCTTGTTGCACATTCGTGATTGTTGAGGCCGTTGAAGGCCGTTTGGTTGAACTACGTTCGGCTTGATTCCTTGGGCAAGAGGATACGTAGGCAGTCATGTTTAATTCAGCCGGTTTAGATTTGTTGATGGGGGTGAGATTGTTTGGACTCTCGTTCGAGTTCTCGACTTGTTGTGGATTGAATCCGTTGTCATGAATTATTTCACGGCGTACTGGACACAACAAGTGAGACATTTGGTTGCTTTGGTGTCGGCTCAGTTTTGAAAAAACTTCGTCGAGGTGGAGAATTGTGAAGCACGTGATCACATGGGGCCCACGCCCACCCATGTGATGCTTGAAACCGTGTGGGAAACCGCGTGAGCCAAGAGTGGGGACCACATGATTGATGGTTCCGCGTGAAGAGAACTGCAGCCTATATATATCTTGTTTAATTTGTGCTCTAGGTTTGGTGCAAAAGAGGACGTGCAAAGGAGTTTTTTTTTGCGGCTGCGGGAAAAATCATAGCAGGAGAAAAATTGGCGGCGGGTGCAAAAGAAAAGCAGAGACTTTTTTTTTGGGTTTTGTGCATCCTTTGAGAGAGATTGTGAGGGTTTTATTTGTGAGATCTGGTGTGTGTAAACCCTATTTGTATTCTCTCTAACAGTAGATCTCCCCTCTCCTTGTCCCGTGGACGTAGGCTATTTGCCGAACCACGTAAAATTGGTTGTCTCTCTATTTGTGTGATTTGTAATAGCTTTTAGGTTCCCTCGACAGGTCAGTCCTAGAACTGATGAGAGGAAGAGTTGATATCTCACTTGGTTGAGATATTTTGCTTAAGGTTCTTGTTTCCTTGGTGAAACAGGATTCCTATTGCGACCTGACTCTTGTTGTGCTGCCGAAGTGCTGCCAAAATTTCCGCTGCGCGCAACAGTTATCCATGATGCATAAGGGACCAAGGCAATGGATACATAAGACGAACACTTTTAAGTTCCCACCAACAAACGTCTTTGTCTTCCCTATCAAAAGGGGGCATACACAAAAGTAACAAGGAATTATATTATCGATATTCCTAGCGATGGTGATTGAGCTCATCAGCATTATATTATCAACATTCTTAGTGAAAGAATAATATTTTTTTGTATTTATAAACATGCAAATGATGATGAATGTTACTGAAATTTTTTCAAAAGGTCATACTTACACATGAATAGAATTAAAAAGAGCTGTTGATGATCATTCCACTATATCTCATAGTACATCTTTGTTTGTCATGTGCATGTATACGTTGCATCCATTAACTTATATTTTCTTATCAGTCAAAATACATAAACCACTTATCTATGATGCAAGTTACAACTACTCAGCAACCTATTTCAGCCCTAAACTAAGAGAACTCCCTTGAGCACTCTTTCTGGATTGTTTCATCTGTTCCTGCCTTGTCGCAATAATTGTATATCATGTAATTCTTCTTCGCCCAAGCAATCTTTTCTACCTCCTTGGCCTCAAGCCCTCGGTTCATCCACGAAGAGACATCATTTCCGCACGAATGAGAGCCAGGACCATACCAAATGCATGCATTCTCGCTATAATTACGATAGTATGTAAAAAATGGAGATTTGCTCCAATCAATCTTTATCGTTCCTCCTTCTGTCGCCCAGTCCTCACCATTCCACAAGCTTGCTTGGACCTTGACAGGTTGTTTCTCAATGTAGTCCACTCCTAGACTCTCATTTCTCTTGAAGAGCCTAATAGGAGTGTCATCCACATACATTCTTCAAGTAAATTAATGCAGTGTTAGTATTTGAATGCACATGAATGGCTCTAACAGTAGTGAAAGCAAGCAGTTAAGCTCACATTATTTGGAGGGGGTTCCACAAGATAGTGTAAGTGTGGAAATCTTGAGTCGGGTCGAACCACAAGTGGAACCTTTGCTCTCTATCGCCTTTTCCATTGGTGAAGATGTTGGTCTGCAGTACATATAGATCTCCTCTGACATGGCCTAAGAACTCAAAATCTATCTCATCTTGGTTTGGAGGCTCAGAAGACAGCTAATCAACCAAATTTAAACAAATACAAAAAAATAAATTAAAAATGAAAAATCAATGTTATTATACACGCATTATGTATTATATGGAATATCTTGTAATGGACATATACATAGAATGATGTTACGGTGCCAGCAGAATTTCTTGCGATGAGCTTCATCCGGGCATCAAACTTTCCAAAGAGGAACTTTGTCTTAGATGCAACTCCTGAGCCAGAATTCTTGTCCATTGAAAGACGGAGCTCCTCACCCCCATCCAAAATCGTGGCATGACCATCAATACCCGTTACGATGTCAAAATCCGAGTTAAAGTTTGCCTTGCCAAATGGAAAGATGATGGCAATCGCGAGAAAAACTAGTAGGAAGCCCAAAGGAGAAGACATACTAAATACTTCAAGTAGAAAGATTTATGGTACTATGTGATGATTTATAAATTGGGACGAAGGCAGCATAGGCAAACTCACGTAGTTTTCAGGTTGATACTAATTAATGCGAAAGAAGCAATTGAAAGTGGAAACATAGGGTTATCAGACGTTATGAACCACCTACCAACATCTGAAATCATGTAAATTTCATGTTGAGTCTGGTAGCATGTACATGTTGTCCTTAGCGTGCTACCATAGTGTACACGAAATTCTTTCTTGTAGGTTGTCCGGCCTGATATCATGCAGACACAAACTATATATGGTTACACAATGCAAGCACAATTAATATGGTGTGATTTCCCCTTTTCCAGTAACCGAGCACCGTGGCTTCATGAGAAAAAATGTGCGGTAAATGCGCTGTATGACATAACGGAGACTCTGCACAGATCTTGTAGCGGCTGCAGGCTGGTTCCCACTGATTTATCATACTAGCTACTTTTCTGTATATATATGTTGTTATTCTATTTTTTATTTTATTTTTTGAGCTGATTTTCTGAACTTAATTTGTCGTTTGAAGGCTATGTGAAATGCTTGTTATTTTAATGCAGTACAGTCATCATTTCTGTTCTTTCCTTCATCAAAATAATTAATCATGTATTACATAAGTAGTAAGTGGTTTTAGTTAGTGCATATAACTTTCCCTTTTCTAATAATAACTTTGTCTTTGGCATGCTCCGCGCACTCGTTATTGATGTTGTGAAGGGTATCGTTTGGTTCTGATCTCTGCGCAGACCACAAAGTGAATCAGGAACAAATCTGGCTTTGTATAAATAAATTTTTTCCCCTTGGAAGAAGGGGGGAAAAAAGAAAATAAAAATAAAAATAAATTCAATTAGCTGACTGTAATAAGTTGAATTTGATGATCATAGCCCTTACCTCAAAAGGGTGTTGTTGAGATGATGGAAGCTACAAGAAGAGCATGTAAGTCCTCACAAATTTGGCTGGGATAAGGTAGCCAACCAAAAGAACTTTACTTAAAGAATATCAGTTGCCACTTCCCCACAAATAATTCGTCTTTTAATATGCACTGCTATTAATTTGTACCCAACTTCTCATGTAGTGACTTTTATTCGTTTTTGAAAATGGATAAGTGAGAGAACTTATTTAAACGAGAACCGTTTTTACCTGTGTATATGCATGCTAATTAACCCTCCAATTTCCTTATGCCAGCAGAAGCTCAGCTAATCTGTAATAATTTAACTCATAATGTGGTTTTGCGATTTAATTTAGTTGCGAACCTACTACCATGACAAGAAGATCATGTTTATAATACAGTAAATGTATCAAAACATGTGCTTAAACCAGCATTTGCTCGAGTTAGGTCGACCTGCAGGCCTAATTTCTTATCCAAGTCCCAACTAGCTGATGAAAGAAATTAGGCGCTTGTTCAACTGAATGAGTAAGTGCACAATGCAGCTTATGCGGTCAGGTGAAGCGAGCGGAACTAATACCATCTTTTGCTGCTACAGGATTTGGGGACCCGAGGGGGGTACAGGTGAGGTGTCCCCCCGAATGCATGATGCACTGTTCATGAACAGTGCATCATGCATTCGAGTGGGGGACACCTCACCCGTCCACCCATTGGGTCCCCTATTTGAGGTCCATGAGGCATTTTTGTTTACGGATCAGCACGAAACCAACGAGACGCCGAATTAAAGCGCGCGTGTCCCCTTGACGGTGATCTTTCAGGCCGCGACTTTTGTTTCTCACAATTGAAGGGGTAGAATTCTAACAGTGTGCTCGTTGAAGCATCACGAGGAGAACCAACCGGGGCCAATAATTGGGGAGGAGCAGAATGCTGCCCCTCGCAACTTGTGACGAGGGGAATGAGTACCTGAGGACTTGATTATGTAATACGAAGGCATCATTCATAGGAATAGGATACGCTTTTTCAAAATTTCTGTAGGACTCGGGATTTATTATTCTATATATTATATCATAACATGAAGAGGCACAACGAGTGTTCTATTTATGTCCCTTTCACCTCAACCACACGAGAGAGAATCTTAATCGCACTTGTCCTTTTAATCAATCAAGCATACGTATTAAATTGATAGCCGCAGTTATTAATTAATTGTATAATAATAAAGAGATCCAAAAATCCAAATCAAGCCTGTTCTCTCGACCCCTTTATAATATTTTCGGTCGAAAGGAGCTCCTCTTTTCTTGTTCCCTTCAGCCTTCAGAGCTGAAGGGAAGTTGAAGGAGAGAAGGAGAGGAGGAATGGAACCCATGAAGCTCTTTTGGGCGTTCGGGCTTCTTGGGTTCTGTTTGGGGGGGTCACTGGTTCAGGGCTTTGAGATTAATGAAGGGCACTGGAACGAGAGTGATGTGGCCATTGTCGAGGCTGGAAGCCCCGCAGCCAAGCCCCTGCTTGTGGGCCTGACCCTCATCCAATCTGCTGCTCACAAAGGAGCTGGTATCTCTGATTCCTTTCGTCTCTCTTCCTCTATTTATCTGGGTGTTACTGTTAAGCATTTCCTAATAAGCGGGGAAAATAATTGGTAGTAGATGCATCTTTATGCTAATCATTTCAGAATCAGGTGTTTTCTTTTGCCCAAGTCTTTTTTTACATAAAATACGAGGCATTAACATGATTATTTGTATGAAACTCGTCATCTGTGTTCTGCTTATATTCCAGCGTGTTCGCCAGTGTGCTACTTTCTAATGGCCAGTGTAATCAGGGGGGTCTTTTGTGATTCAGTACCGTGACCTCTCTTCTTTTTCTCTTTTTTGATTCTCTTTTAGGCATTTCTTTTTAATTTACTTTTAGAAGGAAAAACTTTCTAATTGAAGCCTTGTTGTTACTAATAGTCAAATGTGAATAAATCTGTTGTATTTTATCGTTTATGCTTCTGAGTTGATTGTTAAATAAATCAGTAAGATGTGCGCTCGGTTCAGATTTATAATGGTCTGTCTTTTGTTTCGAAAGACCTACATCATAATTTTAGTAACAGTACATAGAACCTGGCCACCTGAAATTGTTAATAATGCAATACACAAAGAGTCTGCCATCTCTACAAGAATATTAAGTAACAAACTACACCTTTAGTGATTCTACATGTAATTTTGCAATTATTAATTCTAACAAATTCTCCCATCGAAGCATCTGGCCAAACTGAGTGCCTCGTAGCTGGCCACGCAAACCACCCGTTTCTCATTTCTTCCCATTTCTTATGCACGTAGTTGTACAGTTGTGTTTGGAGATATATGAGGTAACTAGGGATATGGATTATTACTTGATTTGTTTCCTCTGGGCTTATGCAGTCTGTTTAGATGGAACGGTGGCAGCTTACCACCTACATCGTGGGTTTGGCTCAGGTGCAAACAGTTGGCTAATACAACTGGAGGTAAGAGGATTTTTAAAGAAATTGTAAATTTAATGAATGATCTTACACACATGGTAAAAAGAGTATGTTATCAGCCAAATTGAGAATGATAGACTAGTTCTTTATTTACACACCGCTGCTGAGTGAGGATTCAAACTTTATCTCAGGGAGGAGGTTGGTGCAATGATATCAGAACCTGTGTTTATCGCAAGAAAACTCGTCGTGGTTCATTGAATTACATGGAGAAAGCTATTGAGTTCACTGGGATTTTGAGTAACAAACCCGAGGAAAATCCTGGTACCTCAAATTGAATCCATTCCCTTCTTTCTTTGTTGGAGTATAGTTTTAATCAGTTTTAGAAATAAAGCATTGGCTGGAGGACTTGTTTTATATAGGATTTGGATGTGATGGTTGCAGATTTTTTCAACTGGAATAGAGTCAAGGTTCGCTATTGTGATGGTGCATCATTCAGTGGTGAAGGCTATAATGAGGTAGGTTGGATCATATAGTTCAACTAACAATAAGCACATTTGCATTTCTTATTCCTTTAGTATATTTGCTGAAATCCTTGTTGTCTTCTGCCGTTAATCATGTCATGTCAACTGATGCTAATTATGATTTATGATATCATATATAGGCTGCAGGGCTTTATTTTCGGGGGCAGCGCATCTGGTCTGCTGCCATGGAAGACCTGATGTCAAAAGGCATGCGCAAAGCTGACCAGGTCTTTCTCAGAGTTTCATTACACTCATCTTAGTCATGGCATGCGATCTTCTTTGATATGTTATGTATAATCATTACTTCTAGGCTCTTCTTTCTGGATGTTCTGCTGGTGGTCTAGCTTCAATACTACACTGTGATGAGTTCCGAGAGCTATTTCCAGGAAGCACCAAAGTCAAATGCCTAGCTGATGCTGGCCTTTTCCTTGATGTGTAAGACTTACTATTGAAATCATCATCTACAAAATTCCTTTGCCTCAAGAGTTCAGTGTTACATCTGTGGCAGCTCACTCAGAAGCTATATAATTTTTTTGCTAATAATTTTAAAGCATACTGGTTATCTTTTATTGTAGATATTTCCTTGACAACAGTATACTTTACTTTTCGTTTGTGGCTTTCCCTTTTAATTGTCTTCGTGAATTTCTGACTTATCTCGTTTTGATTGTCAGTCTTGATGTGGCTGGTGGTCACACCATGAGGACCTTTTTTGATGGCGTAGTCAGCTTACAGGTGCTTATAGCCATATAATTATGCTGTGAATGGTACATATTTTTCTTTAAAATATATAGGAACATCTGTAAAAACTATGGGGCGGACAGCTCTGTATTGCTTATTGAAGCATAATTCATAGTTTTGATATTTCTTTCTCTGCTCTTCTTTTGTAACATTTACATGTATATGAAGGGCGTTGGGAAGAATTTACCTGGATATTGTACTTCCCACATGGATGCAACTTCGGTAATTCTCTGCATCCTGTGATACACGGAACAAGGAGAAAGAACACTAAATTTGGTTTAATTGCTTATTGAAGCGTAATTCTATTTCATATGGAATCATGCAGTGCTTCTTTCCTCAAAACTTGGTGGCTAATATTCGGACTCCACTTTTTCTTCTAAATACAGCATATGATGTATGGCAGGTACTTCTTGATAAACTTGTAACTGTGATCATTTGGTATTTCATGAAAAACTGATACGCTGTTTTTGTGCCACTGTTTTTAATTTAATGTACTTAATCCTATAATTGAACTGCCTCATTTAAATTTTGAATGATATAATTAACTCCTAAGCTGACTTACAAAATTGCATCTTAAAAGAGAATACTATGTTCGATCTCAGAGATATATATATATTTTCTATGCAGCTCCAGGCAAGTTTAGCTCCTGCAATATCTGACCCTCATGGTAGTTGGCGACAGTGCAAGTTAGATAGCGCAAAGTGCAATGCTAACCAGATCAATTTCCTGCAAGGTGACTATTACTTATTCTTTAGCTGGATCAAAAATGGTCAGCCTCGCTGCATGTTATCATATATCTTTCCATCTGTTGCAGGTTTTCGAAATGAAATGCTAAATGCGTTGAAAAGTTTTTCTACAGCTGCTGAAAATGGTTTATTTATCAATTCATGTTTTGCTCACTGCCAATCAGAGAGGCAGGATACTTGGTATGGGAGTGATTCTCCTGCTATTGCAAATAAGGTATGCCTATTGCCCATATCTATCTGTTATCTATTATCTATCTATTACTATTATTTAAGAAAAGCCACACATTTGATTCTACCCTTCTATGTGTCAAGATAAAAAAAATCAATATATGTTCTCAACAATTTATTGTCCAATAAAGCTAATTAGAAGGACAACATTGGATAGATCTAAAAATAGTATAAATATGATCCATTAATT